GGCCAGGAGCGCCTGTCCCACCTGCGCCGCAAGGCGGGCGAGTACCGGGCGCTGAAGGCGGCCCTGCGCGCCCGCGCCGCGCCCGCCGAGCTGGCCCAGGTGGGCGCCGCCGTGCGCAAGGACGTGGTGCGGACCGACCGCGCCCACCCCTACTTCGGGGGGCCCGAGGAGGGGCACCCGCACCTGCTGGCGCTGCAGGAGCTGCTGACGGCCTTCGCCCTGGCGCACCCGCGCCTCTCCTACTGCCAGGGCATGTCGGACGTGGCGGCGCCGCTGCTGGCCGTGCTGGACGACGAGGCCCAGACCTACCTGTGCTTCTGCTCCCTCATGCGCCGCCTGCGCCCGCGCTTCCGCCCGGGGGGCCGCGGGCTGGCCCGGGCCTTCGCCCACCTGCGGCGGCTGCTGCGGCGCGCGGACCCCCCGTTCTGGGCCTTCCTGGCGGCGCGGGGGGCCCACGACCTGCTCTTCTGCTACCGCTGGCTCCTGCTGGAGCTGAAGCGCGAGTTCGCCTTCGAGGACGCGCTGCGGGTGCTGGAGGTCACCTGGAGCTCGCTGCCCCCCGCCCCGCCCCCGCCCCCCGCGGGGGTCCCGCTCCTGGGGGCGCCCCTGGGACCCCGACGCGCCCGCCGGGCGCTGAGGGAGCGCCGGGCGCTGCGGCCCAGACCCCCCCGCGGCAGGAGGAGGAGGAGGAAGGGGGAGAAGGAGGAGGAGGGGGAGGAGGGGGAGGAGGGGGGGGGGGGGGGGGGAGGGGGGGGCGGAGCAGGGGGGGGGGCTGGGGGGGCTGAGAGCGCCGGTGGTGGCACTGGGGGTCCTGAGGATGTCCCCGAGGGTCCCAAGAGCTCCAGTGACATCCCTGAGGGTCCCAAGGACGTCCCTGAGGGTCCCAAGAGCTCCAGTGACATCCCTGAGGGTCCCAAGGACGTCCCCGAGGGTCCCAAGAGCTCCAATGATGTCCCCGAGGGTCCCAGGGACATCCCTGAGGGTTCCAAGAGCTCCAGTGACCTCCCTGAGGGTCCCAAGGATGTCCCCGAGGGTCCCAAGAGCTCCAGTGACATCTCCAAGGGTCCCAAGGACATCCAAGAGGGTCCCAAGGACATCCCTGAGGGTCCCAAGAGCTCCAGCGATGTCCAAGATGGTTCCAAAGCCCCCACCGTTGTCCCAAAGGGTCCCAAGAGCTCCAGGAACATCCAGGAGGGTCCTGAGAACTCCACAAACGTCCCAGAGAGTCCCGGGGACGTCCAGGAGGGTCCCAAGAGCTCCAGGAATATCCAGGAGCGTCCCAAGAGCTCCAGAAACATCCCCAAGGGTCCCAAGAGCTCCAGGTACGTCCCCAAGTGTTCCAAGAGCCCCAAAGACCCTGATGGCTCCAAGGACACGGCTCGAGGTCCTGGTGGTCCCAGGAAGGTCGAGGAAGGCACCGACGCCCTTGAGATCGACCAACAGCCCAACTTCTCGGGGGGGGTTGGAGAAGAACCCGGAGAGGGATGTGGTGACCCCAGAGAGGGACACAGTGACCCTAAAGAGGGACACAGTGACCCCAAAGGTGGACATGATCCCAGGGAGGGGCCTCATGACCCCAGAGATGGACACGATGACCCCAAACAGGGACACAGTGACCCCAAAGAGGGACACGATGACCTCAAAGAGCGACACAACCCCAGAGAAGGCCCCGATGACCCCAAAGGGGAACATGGTGACCTCAAAGAGGGACATGACCCCAGAGAAGGACACAGTGACCCCAAAGAGGCACACGATGACCTTGGACAACGTGACGACCCCAGGAAGAGACGCGATGACCCCAAAGATGGACATGGATGCGATGACCCCAAAGAGGGACACAGTGACCCCAGAGAAGGACACAACGACCCCAGAGAGGACCGTGACGACCCCGTAGAGCTTCACGGTGACCCCACGGAGGACCCCGACGCCCACCCCGACCCCACCGCCGAAGACCCCTGGGGCGGCCGCTGGGCCTGGGAGGACTCCGGCTCTTCTTCCTCCTCCTCCTGCTCCTCCTCGTCCTCCTCGTCGGACGAAGAGCTGGGGGTGGAGGACGACGGGGCCCCGCTGCCGCCGCCGGAGGAGCTGGGCCAGGGCAACCCCTTCCTGCTGTTCGTGTGCCTGGCCATGCTGCTGGAGCAGCGCGACGCCGTCATGGCGCGCGCCGGCGACTACAACGAGGTGGCCATGCACTTCGACCGCCTCGTGCGCCGCCACCACCTGCCCCGCGTCCTGCGCCGCGCCAAGGCCCTCTTCGCCGGCTACCTCGAGGGCTGGGGGGGAGCCCCCGCCGCGGGACCCCCGTAGGAGCCGCCGCGGGGACGCCACCGGGAGCTCAGGGTCACCGCGAGGAGCTCGAGGTCACCACGAGGGACTCAAGGTCTTTTTTTGGGGACGCCTCGGTCGCTGGGGGGACTTGTAGGACAATGTGGAGACCCCCATAAAACGCATCCACGGGACACCATGAGGAGCCCAAGGTCACCGTGAGGAGCTCAAGGTCTTCTTTGGGGACCCCTTGGTCACTGAGGGGACTTGTAGGACAATGTGGAGGCCCCGTAAAACATCTCCA